TTCCATTGCCTAACAGAGTTATTGGGTGACCAAATCAGAAACAGCCCTGTAGAAGCAGGTGTCCACAGCTGGAGAGACGGATCCCACCAGAGGAGTCATAGCTCCTCTAGGGTTATGGTTACACCACTATTAGTAGGTGAGGTTGGGAAGCAGTGCTGACGGCTCCTCTAATGATGTGTACCTTTGAGTGCTTTTAAACATATTAGCCTTATAGTGAGTGGATTTTAAAGGCTCACCTGATGGCTTTCAGAAAAATTACAAATCAAGAGAGAGATGTTACCACAGCTTTTCTCTTATTCAGTGTCATTCCTGAGACTTAGAGCAGTTGAGGTGTTTTTATCTTTTGAGCTGTTGCCTCAGGCACATGGGCAGTCCCACTCTGAAAAGGATATAGAAATGTGATGGGTGTTCAGAGGTGTGGAATGGCCTCAGTACAAGGAGTACGTAAATAAACTGGGACTCATCAGTCTGAAAAAGCATTTCTAAAAAAAGTCTATGAAATCAGAAAGATCCTGTAGATAAATAGGAATTTTTTTCTCACCATTTTTCTTAGTTTCATTAATGCCCCCTAATTCTTCTACTATGAGGTGACAGATTCAAAACGTACAATGTAGGTGTTGGGGTTTTTTAATTCATAATATGACTGTCACAAGACTATGGATGCCAAAAGAGCAAAAATCAATGAGACCAGTACCTGGAAGGCGTATCTAGTAATGCCTGTTGATCGCATGGAACCAATCTCTGGGTCAGTAAGTTCCAAAACTGCAGAGTGCTGGAAGGCAGGAGAGCCCATCACAGGAGCAGGCACTTTATGCCTGCCCCATTCCTATAATCTTGGCATCTGCTGTCAACAGCTACCGGCATCAAGGTGCTGAACTAAATGGGTCAATGCAGCCATACTTAAGAAATAAAGTATTTTCTGAGCTGTTACTGGAACTTTGCAGGAAATCAGATTCTCCAAGACAAAACTTTCAATGTCAGGATTTATCTGCTTGGAGTTCCCTGTATTTAAAGCACAAATCATCCAGGGACAGGAGCTCTTGAAGCAGGTGTACCATGGGCAATTGGAAATAATGAGCTATTTTACTGAGATGCCACACAAGCATCTCAGTTCAAGTACATCTCAAGTTAATTAAAGTTTAAAATTTAAGATAGAATAAGGTATCCAACTCCTCGTGCAGGCCATGTGGGAATCACAATAAAGCCAGCTTACTCAGGTCTGGACTAGCGAAGAGAACATGAACATCAGCAGCATTGCTCTATAAGACTCCCATGGCAATTTCCAATCCAGCACTGATTGAAGCTGAGAAGAAAGGCATCCAGTATTCCTCTCTATCAGTGTGACTGCCTTGCACACTGCCTTAGAGACTGTGTTCAAAACCAGAGCCATTCCTTTGAGGCAAAGGGCTGGAGGTTTCAAAAGATGGTAGACTCTTTGTCAGCGCTTGCAGCATCGCATTTTCAGAAGTTACCGCTGTCGGCTGGATGTGGCTGCCCTGCAGCCCAGGCTTGAAGGCTGGCTGTGTAGAAACTAAGCCCGTTGCAGTGGGAAGTAAAACAATTTTACTGACCTTCTTCACTGATGCACTGTAACCTTCTGCAACGGTTTAAGCGAGAGCTTTTTAGTTCACATTATGCAAAAACAAGGAGCACATGCAATTACCCCAGCTGAGCTGAGAGAGGCTAACATCACCAAATGTGCCACTTGGTTTCTTGGAGTTGTATCATCCTTAGAGGTTGGTGTCAGTTTTCCTTAGTTCTGGGTCAATAGCAAGCTTTTAACTCCTTGGAAAAGAGGAAACAGGAGAAAAATTGCTGGGAAGGAAGTTATCTGGTGGTTACCTGTACTAGGGTTTCTCTGAGCCTTCTGGCAGGTGTCAGCTACTGGGGCACGTAATGCTATATCCTAGGGTATAGTGCTGGAGGTTATAGACCTGTATTCTTCTTGAAAATCATTATTTATAGTAACTTAAAATTCAATTGAAAGTCTAATGAAAACATTTGTGTAGAAAGCAGAATACTAAGAAATCTTCTTTCTCAAGGTTGCATCTTAAACCTTTTGCCCATCTATTTTCTCTTTAAACGGCTGCGTGCAGACTGAAGGAAACCCTGTTAGTTCAGGCTGGCTGTTCAAGCCATGGTGAGTGCAAGGCGTCTCAGGGCAAGGCAGATTGGGTCAGGGTCTGCAACACGGAAACCAAGAGATTGCCTGTCTGGTTTGTGAGATGAAGGCAGAGAGCAGACAGAGGTTTGTTGTCTGTAAGCAGAGCAACAGCAGAAATAGACAGGTCTTCATGGCTGACTCAGGGTTTTTGATTTCTGCAATACCTTGAGCATCATCTCCTGCTGTGTTAGATGTGAGCATGCCTAAGCTGGCTCAGGGTCTGGGTTGCAACAGACATAGCAGCGTAGCAGCCACATCGCGGTGAATTTTCTGATACTGACTCACAGCCAGATCCCACTGTGGCTGGGCAGGCTCAGGGAGGGATACGCTTGCACCGCTTTAACTCCCAGAAATATCCGCTGTCTGAGTCCTTCCCCATACCTGGCCCAGGAGGACTATGGACACAGCTGGGCGCAAGCCAGAAAGTGATGCCACAACCAGGTCTGTGCTCTTCTGCCTCTTCTTTATGGCCTTATCTATTTGCAGTGAGTTGGATCCATGATAGGGACTGAATTGCCAACACTAAAACACGTGGCAGAAGGTAGTCTTGCTTCAGGGCCAGTTACAGAAAGTACCTCAGTTCAAGATGGCAGCAAACCCATGTCACTGAACAGGGAAGAAAGCTGTGACTGGCATCTGGTGTCCTGGGCTTGGCTGCAGCTGGGAGAACTGGAGTCCCCGTAGTCCTCTGCCTGTCCCAGCCCCAGGCAGCGGTGTGATAAACCTCTCCCAGTGGGTCACATTTGGTTCAACATCTGCTGCTGTGGGCAGAGACCCTAAGTGGGATATACCCACGTAAGAGGACAGAGCAATTATCTGTTGGCTAATGCACACAACAAAAGGCCAAGACTTACAACCTACTAGGCTAAGCATTAATACATCTCGGCATCTTTAGTGAGAAACCCTGAAGCCTTTACTGGCAGCGCAGACGTCAGCCCTGGGGGAAGGGTTGGCCTCTGCTGATCCTTGCACTGCTGAGCTGCCATCTTCCTATACCTTGCTTTTCCTCCTCAGGTTTTATACCTTGTCATATCAGTATTTCTTCTCTTGGCTCACTGAGCTACTACTAGTGTCTCGGCAATGCTCTTCTTACCTTGCATGGCTTCAGCTCACAGCCCTGCTCACACCTTGAATAACCATTTTCTTGGTTAAACTGAGATGACGTCTCACGGCCACGTTGCACCAAGCGAGGCTGCAAGTCCCAGGCAGCTCATGCCAGTGCTGAGGGTTGTGGGGCTTTAACTCGCAGAAGGAGGGGGTGATGGCAAATGGAGAGGAGCATGCCAGGTCCCAGCCATGTGGTCAAGGTAGGCTCCATCGCCACCGGACAGACCTTAGTGACAGCTCTGAGTGAGATGATTTGGTGAGAAGCACCCCAGTGCTGGTGTGATGGTGTGAATGACAGATGACATGTACTGTCTTAGCTAGCTCCTAAGAGCTGCATCGTGCACTAGGATGTGCTCCTGCGAGGGCTCAGCAGTGTAAAATGCTGAGTGCGGGATCGGGGGAGCAGGGCTCTTGGGAGAGGAAGGGGGGGCTAATACAGCTTTGCAGATGTCTCTTTGCTTTTTAGGATTACAGAGTCAAAAAACAGGATAACATAGATCATGAAAACCATTACAATAATGTTAATCCTTGTCCTGCCCATCAGAATTGTAATCATGTGAAGTGCCATCCATCTAGACTAAAATCAGAAACTCTGTGCTTTTAAAATGTTGTGATATCCTGGATTGTTATACCCTGAAACCAGTTCATTCACTGAGGGAGAGCACAGTCCTGTGTGCTCAGCAACACTGCTGAGAGCTGTGTTACTTCACAGCACATGCCCCTGAAGTCTGCTTTCTTCTAGGAAGGCTTCCCAGCACGAGAGCTGACTTCTTCATTTGTTTCACACAGGTTTGAATCCTGGTAAATACTACAAAGGAGTCAAATTCCATTTATCAGGTATTTTATAATGCATGTCTTTTGCTAGTCTGTGAGATTGCTTTTTTGTGCACATAAGGAAAACAATGGAAAAGAAAAGGAAAAAAAAAGAAGTTGTGGGGTTTTGGAGGCTCTTGTCAAAGTACTTTTCTTCAAAAAACAAAAGTTAAAACTGTTATCATTAGGTGACATTTGGCAGGTGCACTGTACAAACCTAGTTTCACAAAGTTAAATGACTGAGCAATTTATAGCTTCCTCACCGTGGATCTGAGAGGCTGAATTCCTCAGGTGCTGCATGCACAGCTCGTGACCGCAGAGATTTCTTGGCAGCATCTCTCAGAAACAGCCCCTCTCATTCTTCCACTCCCTCATCTCCTGCTAAGTAAACGCTCTCATTAGAGAGCCGGTAACTCAGGCACCCTGCTGTCGTTGTGGTTCGGCAGTATGTACGGGTTTCTGGCCAAATATGAATCAAAAGGTACATAGGTACTACTAGCAGTGAATTTAAAACAGTTTTTCCAATGATTAGTTGGTAAGTAACATAAAATCCTTTGTATGTGTGTAAGCCATACACACATACACTGAAAGATATTCAGCAAAATACTCATTAGAGAATCTTGGTTACAAGAAGATAGGTAAAAATCTAACCCTGTTTGGAAATAATTTACCAAAAGAGTGCAGTGCCTCTAAGGAAAGAGTAAGAGTGCAGTTAATCATCAGTATCGGTGCCGTCTGCTACACCTTTCATAGCTAACACAGGTTTTAAAAGTCTGAAATAGAGATGCTTAGTAGTGTTTCAAGATCAGTTTAATGCTAAAGGCTTTTTTTTTAACCTCTTCTTTCTTCTGCCATTAGGCAATCTTCAGTGCAGCCCAGAGCAGGAGCCAGAGGACAAGGTCACTCCCCACGGCACATGCCGGCAGGTGGCACGGTGTGGCAGGACGGTGACACTCACAAATCCGAAGCAGTGGCCAGTGGTAAGAGCACTATAACAGGGAAACAGGGAAAACCATGGGTTTGCTAACGGATGCGGCTGTGGCTGGGTTTTGACAGGATAAAAGATCTCATTTAACAGAAACCAGACATATCAGTGTCAGTCCCCAGATGTAACAAAAATATGTTTATCTGAGGATTCCCACAGCACTGAGAAGTAATCACTGCCCGTGCTACACCAGAAGAGACTTTCTCACTTTCTGGAGCGACAAAATCCTGAAGCCCTAAGCCTGCTCTGCTGAGATAAACAATTAAATGAAATTACTCTGATAATTAAGTTCATACAGCAACTGCTAAGCATGATCTTGTGCCCAGCGAAGAATTTGTGGTTTAGTTACACTTATTATAAATTCAAATATCCCATCTAGACTATAAGCTAATTTATGCTGCTATCTATTAGAGGTGCGTTCATCCTTTCAGACAGAGAATGTTTAAGAGCAGCTGTTTGATTTAGTCTTGGAGAAAGGTTTTCATGGATTAGAGAGTAATATTCAGCCCCTCTGTAAGGGCTTTCCAGGCCTATGCATTTAGGTGATTTTACTTAAAAAGTATATATTTTTCAAGCTTCTCTAAACAAAAGGCCAGCCTGTGTAAACTGAGGAAGCGTTTCTGACTTCAATGGGGTTATGACCATTTACCAGGGACTGCTCCTTGGTCTCCAGGCTGGAGTTACAACCCTTGCAAATGCTACATCAGAGAGAGTTTTGTGGTCGGGTTTTTAGACTAATGCTAGACATAACTGCCATGGCCATGACTTTTTTCCTCATCTTCTAAGAGACATCCAATTTCTTCTTTTTCAGGACAAATCTCTTTGTATTGTTACCAGAACAGCAGAGGAAACCCACCTCGTTTATACTTTTGGAAACAAACCACAAGAAATAGGCATCACCTGTGTACAAACTTGTGTCAGGTTGGTTTGTTTTTTTTTAAATTTAAATTCCTAAAGGAAGATATATCCTTATTTCCAGAGTTATTTCTGCATTGCCAACAAAGAAAAGTAAAATGCAAGAAAACACAATCCGTATGATATCTGCTTTTTATCATCCTCTCTCCCCTTTAGCTCCTTTTCTGAATGGGAACCAGCAGAATGGAAATCGAATGTAAAAGAATATATATAAATGCAACATGGGAAAAAAAAAAATCTTTCACAAATATTTAGAATCATGTTTATTTTATGGCTTTAATACTCGGTAAAAATAGCGTGCCAAAACTGAGTGCATGTGGAAAAAATGCAAACTGTGCTCTGCATCTTCAAAATGCAATTGTGCTAATGCCACATACAAAGCCAGAGCACCGCACTGTAAAAATGGATTTCTGCGTGTAATCAGACAGGGTAGCATGAACCTATACCTTGAACCTTAACCATAGACTAAATTCTGTCATGTCAGGTCCTATTTTCACATTCTTCTGACACCACAACGTGTTCAACAGTTGTCTGTTGTGTTTGCCCACTGATACTATGTTCTCAATTACAGACCATTTATCACTTCTGCAGTTACCCGTTTTATTTTGTGAAAAGCTGCCTTATATTCTCTTTGTCAAGGCTTCCATATAAACACAAGCATCCACTTAGCTTTCTTCACTCAGCCATATCTCTAAAAATAATGGCAAGCTAAACATCTCCTTGGAAGAGCTCTCAGATTTGAGAGGCTTCGGAGCTGTGAGGGGGGATAGACTGCAAACGCAGGTTCTGGGTGTAATTATAGTAGTAATTGCCTGCCACTCGTGTAAGTAGGCAATAACTATCTTTTTCGCTTTGGTTAACGCAATTCTGAACACATGGAGGAGGCCTTAGGAAATGAAAAAAAGCAATCTTCAAAATAACTTGCAAAATAAATACATAGGTGTGTAACGAGGAGGGAGGAGATGCCCTCAGCAGAGTGAGCCCTCCCCAGCTTGCCTATCGTAACACCTGTAACTATTGACACATGAGAAACATTTTCAAAGGGAAGAGAAACATGCCATCATTTACTGAAATATTGGTTATGTTCTGTTTAATCCTTTCATCGTTCTTTTTTTGGCCTTTCTTTTTTCCTTTGCTGCCTTTCCATGGAAACATAACAGAGTCTATTGTTTTGTTTAATTTTTGTCATTTGCTTTTCTTCTATTGACCTCCTCTAATATGTGTCTGATTCTATTTTTTTTCAGACAAGTTAATGATTCAGGAAGAGGAAAGACATTTTCAGAGCAGCTCGAATATAAATGATAAACTGTAAGTCACATTTGTTTGCACAAGGATAGTATTTGTGGTTTCACACTGTTCCAAAGCTGGGGCTCTGCTTCCAAGAACTGGCTGGGTAGTTTGCCTGTTATTTATCACACTGTCCTAGGCAGATGATTTCTGGATGATTAACAGAACTGTCATTGCACTCTTACATGCAGGCTGAACTGATCTTGCTGCTTTTGAAATATTTAGTAGTTGTTAGAAAGAAAAAAAAAACAATAAAGCCTAGAAATACTCATCTACTTACTTTGTTGATAAATGTCTTCTAAATGCTAGCAGTATTTTATCTATAATTAAAGCCTAGGTGAACTTTCCCAGCCTTCCCATTCTCCATGGCTTGCAAGTAGTTGCAATCCCAACCTTTCTTTAAATCACAGTGAGGAGACTACATTAATGATTATTGTCTTCTCAAAGGGGGAAGGGATCTACAGAGACAATATTGTCTTCCAAAGTGCACGGGGCAGTTTACCTTCAGGATCCCAATGGGATTAATTCAAACAGTAGCCTAAACTCCAAAATATTCCAGGTAGTTTTCCCTGCTTCTCTTTAGAAACCAGCTCCGCAGAGCCCCAAGGTAGGGATGATGTTACCAAGGAAGTACTTTCTATGTGCCTGGACAGCATCGGCCAGTCCTCTTGGGTTTATGGAAGTGAAAGGCATAATCTGAGGATGACCTTGGAAACTCAAATCCATCTTGAAAACCACCGAGTTGTGTGCCTTCTTACTGCATGGGTTTAACAAATCCAAATTGCAGCCGTTGCTCTGTAGTATGTTGAGGGAGTTATCTGTGGTCTGTTTAGGAACATTTCATGATTAAAGGATAGGAAATGATTATTTTTACTTCAATCGGTTAAACTGCTCGGATTGCACTTTGGTAGCAAAGTCTGTGACCTGAGAAAGTTTGCCAAGTTCCATGACACATCTCTCAGTACAAGCAAATCATATATAAACCCATCTTGGGCTACTTTATTTTCCTATTCTGGGTTGTGGGAAGCTAAAAGAGAATCCGTGAGTGTTATTATTATCATTACATTCACTTGTTTCATATCGCTGAGCCTGAGCATCAGCCCTGTGGAAACAGAAGAGTCAAAAATATTCTTTAAATCTTTTACCATGGATTCTAAGCTGCATTTGCCTCTATATTTCCTGTTTATTTATGTGATTAATCTATACAGATATTTTAGAGAGGATTCAATCCCAGAGTATGTGGAAAAGTATGTTCAAAGATAGTTAAGTTCCTAAAGATGAACTGGAAACAGAGTGGATTATTCAAAAGCAACTAAGCTGCTTTTCTATCAATTTCTTCATGGCTTTTTATTGTCTGTAAGTAACGTGGGTGCTAGCCCACGGGAGAATGGTAAAGAAAAAAGGCTTAATTTTACTAAGAGGTGAACTGGCCAAGGTCAGCCCTCTGCCCCTGCACTAACAGGCTTTTGCCAAGATGAACGTGCCATATTTTAGCTGTGTTTTTTATCTTTGAATACCGCATATGCACTCATCAACCCAAAACAGAGGAAAAAAAGGCTTGTTTTGCTCAGTGAAGACAATCCTTTTGACTCTTGATTAAATTTGAAATCTAGTTCTTTTAGTAAAGTGTTTAATCTAGTTTCTGCTACACAGAAAAATAAACCCAGTAATTTCCTCGTGCTTTATTTAGATATAGCAGTAGCTTTAAAAATGTAAGGAATGATACTTCATTGTACTACTTCTGTGATGGAGGGCTATTTTGATTCCATTTTTTATAAGAACAAGACTCCTAACCCAACCTGCAGCATTTTTTTCCCTTTTTTGCTCTGTTTTCCAGATGCTATATTCTACCCAGGCAGTATGGCCATTTCCTGCCATAGAAGTACAGCAAAAGGAGGAAAACAAATGCAAAATTTCCTATTGAATGAGTCAATTCACCTGGAATAACATTTGAAATAATGAGAGCAGTTTTCCATTAGTGAAGTCCTGCACACACTATTTAAACTAAACTGTGTGCTGTGGAATTGCGGTCCTGTCTGCCTGGAAGGGTAAATGAAAACTTTCCAGAAAAATTGGATTTCCTGCCTAGAGGGCACTGAATGCAAAAACCCCCACTCAGAATACCACAGGGGTTTATAACACTCATGTCCAGTACAAGAAAGGACTAATTTACACGTTATACATCAGAAAATTTTGCAACTGTCCCAGTATACATCAGAAAATTTTGCAACTGTCCCAGTGCCCACTGTTACTGCTTTATGCAGTGTCCTGTTTCCCAGGGCCCTGTCACCCATCTCTGGGTGGTGATAAATTTTGAATTATTTTGGAAGTTATATTCAATCCTGCTATTCCCATTTGACTTCCAAAAGCAGTTAAGTTGCCATCCTAAGCTTGTGAAGATCAATGTCCTGAATCAGGTCTTACTGAATACTCACTTTCCTCCCAAATCACTGATTCATGTTCCAAAATTGAAGCGGTCATAAGCACATTTTTTGGTGAAATGGTGTAAGGTCAGTTACACATGCTATGACCGTTGTCCTGAAAGGTAACAAAGACAGTGAATGTGCCTTCACTCCCATCCGTTTTTAATATCAATTCCAGTTGAGACCTTGGGGAATATGAAGTTTACCTAACATTTCTTTCCCTCAAAAGACATGCTGTAGAGCTCTGCCTAGCAGCCCATCTATAGTTTTTACTTACTCTGGCAGCACCTAGAGTGTTTGAAGATCAGCTCAGAAAGGGTCATGCCCAACAAGGTAACTTGTTAATCTTTAAAACTTGAAAGCGAAGTGT